GCTGGTGTTGGTGTTTGACATATCGTCTAAAGTAGCGATAAAAGTTCATTGAACATTTGTTATCTGTATTGGTCACCATCTGTAAGCTGATACATTGATGAAATCCCAGAGACAAATTATCACTTTTAGGTGGCTCATAACCTGCTGGCTTCAAGGAGTGGTAGAGATCAATCGATTCTTTGAACTGAACATCGATGATTTCGGCTTTGGTCCTCTCTGACACGGATACAGACGATAAGCAGCGATAAAAGAACGTTTGGTCCAGTTTTGGAAGAGGTAGACCTGCTTCGCATAAGCGCAAGACATGCAAGTTGGCCAGCAAGTATGCCTCAGTGATGGTCTTGTTGAGTTCACGTAGCACTTTATCCCATTTCAAGTTCTTGGCTTCATCAGTACAAAAGGCATTGAGAGTCGTTTTGACGACACTGGTGCTAAAGAGGTTTGTATTGGCTTTACGAGCCTTGACATCGTTTCGAGTTCGTTTGGGTTTGAAGAGATGTTTTTGGATGTACTCAAGACATTCGACCTCAAGGTCATCCAACTCAATCAGAGGTTTGTGTCGCTTTTTGGGCATCTTTATCTGTAGTTAGTCAAAAAATTTTTGAAAACAAACGCGTTTAAACGCATTACCATAAAAGGAAATCATGCCTTCCTAAAAAGGAAATGTTGTGATTCAGGGACGTGGTCAAGAACATTCTTGAGGATCTTCTCGAACATAGAACAATGTAACACTTTTAGCAAAAACTGTAATAACCCGACACATTAACCCGACACATTAACCCGACATATTAATCACACGATTGACGATATTATCAGGTGCCAAGCTGATTCCAACATACTTGGTCGTCTTATCGACCGGCGGGTAGGGCCCCTTGTCTTTGACCATCACCCTGGGCAGCTTTGCACCCAACGCATACGCACGCAACTCCTTCCATGTGGTTTTGTGGAACATGTTGAGAGCATGCTCTTCCATCCTGTCGATGAATTTTTTGTTATCACTGTTCTTCAAGTCATCCTGCGAAAAGTCGATCCGACACCCCAACTGCAGAACGATTTTCATTCGCTCTTGCTCTGTCGCCGCCATATCGTCCGGTTTTACCTCCACGGGATACTTGTCGGCAAAGTCATTGAAGTAACTGGCTATGGCATGGAACGTGTTTGCCGCTTTGTAACCACCTCCTCCATGCAACATCATTATCGTTTTCACTTACCCAACCTCAATATTTTATTTGGTTTGACGCAACACAAACAGCGCCAGTCCATTCCAATATGTGGACCCATCATTTGGACCCCGGGAATACAACATGGTTTTCGAGAGGATTTCAAGCTGAGCGGATTCAATGCCCTCCCACGTGCCGGCTTGCACCTGCCCCCATTCCCAATCATCCACCACATACAGGAATTCGCGGTCCAATACCGGCAAGAAATGCGTTATGGCTTTCCGGTGGGAATCCCGCGAATGATCCCCATCATAAAAATACATGTTGAACCGCGGTAAATCGGCCGTCTTGACCTGAAAGGCATCGTCTGTCAGAATGTGCACAGGGACATTGGGTGGTCGATATCGGTCGACCGCGGATCGCAGGTGTTCCAGACTGCCATCGAATTCAGAGAAGTTGTCAATCAAAAACATGTATTGAATATCCGGATTGGCGCACATGAAGCTGACCGCGGTACTCCCGCGCCAGCTGCCGATTTCCAAGTAACGAGCCCCAGGAAAGCTTCCCAACACATTTAACAGATGCCGACCCTTGGCTCCCGACATGCCCGGAAATTCAAGAATGTCCGCGGGCAACCAAGATTTGCTCTGGGACTGCTGCACCGCTTTATCCACCCACGCTGACAACAGGGTGGCCATGTTTATGCCAGTTCTAATGTTATGGCCTGGTTTTTACGTGGACGACCGCGTTTCTTCTTGGGGGGAACCTCCGCCGCTCTTTCCGGCTCTGATTGTCGTGTCGAAATCTCGGGCTCAGACTCCAAGTCCTGTGGCCCTTGTTGTTTGACCAACTCTTCCGCGGTAAAGCTCGGGCCTTTAGGCTGTGATGAAGGTACCGGTGGGTCAGGAAATCGAATTCCTGTCGGTTCGCCGGGCTTCTTGGGTGCTTTGCTCGGTCCACGAGTTAACTGTTTGGTAGCTAACGCAATGCCAAAGGAACTTCCCATCATCAACACCAATTTCAATTCCGGAGGCCAGTGTGTGTTGGTCTTGTATTTCTCCAGTAGTTCCTGCAAAACTTGGTCATACTCGTGACCCACCATGATTTTATAGTGCATCTGCCGCGACCACTCGCTCATGTCGCCCACTTTGAAGGGATCAAATCGATTGTTCATCCACGTCAAACCCTCGGTCATAAACCACAAGCCCGTGCGCACCACTCCCATATTGCCATCCATTTCCATACGCGCCTTCACATACTCAACCTCATTCTCGATTTCCGCCAAGTCAGAGGACATATCCAGATGTTTGGGCGAATACCGGTAATCCCGATTCTCCCGGTTGTAGAAACACAACAAGTGGCTCTTTCGTCGTCGAACGTCCTCGGGATTGACATGGTCTTGACTCGGACCCGGACTCGAGTCAAACATTGGGGTGAACGTCGGCGGCGGTGGAGCTGGATCGACGTCCGGCATGGGTTGGTTGGTCGGTAAAGGTGAAGGCGGTGGTTCTGACACCGAATCCTGTATTTTCGCGGGATTGGCAAACATGGTATAATCGAATTCATTCGACTCCGCGGGCAAATAGCTCTCCGTCACAATATTCAACGGTATCCCGGGGGTATTGATCACTCGCTCCCGCCCACTGTCCACTTCCACGATGGACATTAATGCCTTTTCTTATCCACACCCTTTTTTTTCCAGTGACAAAAAACGCACCCGGGTATATTTTCACCGCGGTCTATTTAAAAGCCAATGCGGGACACCATTTTCTATTCGAAAAAATGCCCACACTCGAAAAATCTTTTAACCAGGATCGCAAACACCAAACTGGAAGACCGCTTCTACTACATATGTGTAGACTCCGACCCCGATTCCAAGAAGCGTCCTGACATGTGGCTGTTCATCCTCGACATTTCCCGCGTACCCACCCTGGTCGTTAACAATCAATACTATGTTGGAGCACAGGCCTTTCAATGGGTCGACCAAGAAATGGGTCTCACTCCCGAAGATACTTTCCGCAATCGTTGTCCACAAGGTCCGGTGGGGCCTGTCGGTGCGGGGGGCATGACCCATGAACCGCCCGCGGCTGGAACATTTGGCCATTTTGGTGTCCCGTTGGTCCCACCGGGAACAGAAGGGACAGGCGGTTCCAACGAACCATCCCTGGAGTCTCGCTTAAAGCAGCTCATGGAGCAACGAGAAGCGGACTTGCGCTAAAACCCTGGAATAACAGCTCAAAAATGAAACCACGAGCCATGGATCTGTTGTTGACCAAGCTCCCGGAAGAGGTCCGCGGTAAAGTGGAAAAGTACCAGCGGGACCTAGAGGCAGCCAACGAAAAGCTGGTCTCGATTAATCGACAACAAGAAGTGGACATCAAAGAGCTGGAAAATGAAATCAAGGTCCACGTGCACGACAAAACGGTGCTGACTGCCAAAGTTCGCTCGTGCCAAGCCATGCACGACCATATGCAACGATTGGTGGATGTTTGGAAGGCTCGTTTCCACCGCGGGTTATTCCTCATACCCAAACAGATTTTTGACGCCTACTTGAAATCTCGAGCCGACGATCGCACCTGTTCGATCTGTTTGGGTTTATTGACTGAGGGTCCCGTCGGGGTCACCAGCTGCCTGCATCTTTTCCATTACGAATGCATTCAGAAGGCCACGCAAATGCATCCCCATACCTGTCCACTCTGTCGGACTGAACACTTGGGTCTCTTCACGTGTAAACCATTGACTCAGTTTCATCCGATCTGCCATCCGAATCTAGTCATTCCTTTGTCACACAAAGACATTGAAACGCCTCTTTGTGTGACTTTTCGCTCTGAAACCGATCAAGATGCCCACGGGCGTTTAATCCGTCACGACACTACCACCAGTCACCATTTTGAACGCCTGTTCAACAATCGTTCGGAAATATACATGTACGAACTTGATGACTAGTTTAATCAATGGTGTACACCAACAGTCGATTGGGATCCAACAACTGTACATCCGTTCTATAAAAGTAATCTATCAGTTGCCGGAGTCCGGGATCGAGTTCATGATCATTGATGTTAATGTACACAACCTTTCCACCGGGATGTGCGGTTTTGAACACCCGAATATACTGTTTAAAATTGGATGTCATTTTGGGGGCGTGCATGCTCAATCCTACAATCAGCATTAAATCCGCGCGTTGTAAATCATGGGCCAAGAACTGGCCCAGTTGATCGAAATGCGGTCCCAACACGGGGTCTTCATACAACAGCACATTCGAGACCAGACTACCCACCGGTTGTCGCGACACGCGTCCTGTCCGCAAACGTTGCGTCGCCGCGGGACAATCCGGGTGCTTCATATTAGGATTATTTTCCCACGCTTGTGCCAACTCAGGTGTGAGCAATAACAGCGCATGACACGTGGGGCAATGTAGGTATCGCGCATCCCCGTGCATTTGAATGGTTTTATATCCCGGAACCGCGGTTTTGGTTTCCAGTCCATCCACATTGAAGGTGTACCATCGCAGCAATTGCTCGTTCTGCCACACACTTTCCACAAACAAATGGGCTTTGGACGGCGGGCGCGTGTTTCCAATCGTAGCCAGTTCTTGCACCAACTCTTGATGGCGGGAATAATGAGTCCCGCCTTGGCTAATAATGCGTCGATTCATAAATCGCCGCAATCCCGGCCGGTCCTGGTACGTGGCAATGTAAACGGCAGATATGCCCGCACCTGTAAAGACCAGAATATTCGTTCGATCCGAAATAACTCTTTGCAGGGACTGTGTGGTAATTTCTTCCATGACACCTGTATAAGTAATAATCATATAGAATAATAACCACATAGAACAAACACATGGAATCCTTAACGCAATGGATTCTGGTGCTACTCGCCGCAACAGCCTCGCTGGTGTTGAGCGCCTTTTTGATTGTGCTGTTGATTCCTCCCAAACGTTTTGCCCCAATTGCCCCGGTTGCCCCGGTAGCCCCAGTGGCCCCAGTGGCCCCGGTTGCCCCGGTTGCCCCGGTTGCCCCTGTTATTGTGTCACCAACGCCTATGCCACCTCCTGTTATTGTGTCACCACCGCCTGTCGTTGTGTCACCGCCTGTGCCACCGCCTGTCGTTGTGCCACCACCGCCTGTCACCGGCTCAAATGGGTTGGTCTCCCCTTATGTCATGAGTGGGAATTGCGCCACGTTGCTATCCGCTGGCATCCTTAACGCGACCATTGCTTTCTGGAATGGCGGTTATTTCGATTGCGGCGATCCCGATCTGTCCATTTTCACCAAAGTCACCGGCACATTGACCCTAAGTTTTGGTGGGGCCGCGGGCTGCAGCCAATCCACAGAGCCCGCCCTGGTGGCCGGATCCTCTGTCATGGACATTGCCAACCGATATCTTGTCCCATTTCAAAGCTACGCCTTTAATGCCATTGATTTGGACATTGAAGAGGGCAAACAATCTGACTCGGGTTCTTTTGTTCTCAGAAATCAAGCCCTGGTTCTCTTTCAACAACACTATCCGGGATACCCGCTGTCATTTACAGTGCCCGCGGATGATGTCTCGGGTTGCTCCAGTAGTTTGGCCATGTTGCAAGACGCCGTTCGTCGCGGGGTGCGCATTGATACCGTGCGGCTCATGATAATGGATTTTTATCGCCCGGTGGATTTGGTGACTGCCTCCATACAGGCAATCCAAATTGCTCAGACCCAACTAGCGGGTCTCGGGATCACAAAAATAGGTTTTATCCCGCTCTTGGGTCTCCACGACGACAACATCAACACGTACACCCTGGCAATCCATCAACAAATCGTCCACCAACTCGGTCAACATAGTCAAATTCAAACGTGGAGTTACTGGGAAATCAATCGAGATCCTGGATTACTCTTTCTGTCGACCTATGGATCGATATAAAATCTCCAAGCGCTTTCTAGGTAACGGGGCGTTTGGCACCGTCTGGTTTGCCACCCGGCTCATCGACAAACTCCCGGTGGCCATAAAACAACAACCTATCGATACCGTCACCGGCATTGATGCGGGCGTGTTCCGGGAAATTGGCCTTCTCTCGCAGATTTCCCATGACCACATCATCCGCTTGCTCGACGCCTTTGTCGACTCTGGAAAAACCCACGCCATTTATCCCTTTTGCCCGTCTTCGCTGGGCAAACGCATGGTTGTGGGCGATTACACCATCTTTGAAGCCATCGGCTGGTGTCAGCAACTTCTTCATGGTCTCACTGCCTTGCAACAGTTTGGTGTCTTGCACCGCGATATCAAGCCCGACAATTTATTGCTGACCGCGGATAATACCTTGAAGATTGGTGATTTCGGTTCCGCGGTACCGCTCTATACCGGAAATCCCAGCCTATCTACCTATGTGTCCACTGTGCTCTACCGAGCTCCCGAGATTCTAACCCACTGCCGAAATTACGATTCCCGCGTTGATGTATATTCCGCGGGCGTCGTCATCGCCGAACTTCTGACCCGTGAATACCATTTATTGAAGTGGCCGTTTGCACACCCAGACAATCCCGACGATCCGGGGGACTGTCAACACATGCTGACCGAAATCGTCAACATGTTTGGTCTACCCGAAACCCTTGGCCCCATCCTCACGAAAGCACCATTGGCGTATCTTCTACCCAAACCCCGCAAACGCTCGCCTAGGCTGTCTAAATGCACGCTCCCGCTACCCTTTTACAACGCCGTGATCAACATCACCGCGGTCAACCCGGAAAATCGATTTTTCGCCGATGAAGCTTTCCGCACCTTCAGCAAAATTCAGCTGTGAACGTTATAATGGAAGCCTTAGTCTTTGGCGGCGGAGCCCTCAAGGGCTTTGCATTGATTGGAGCCGTCAAGGAGTTGCACAAGCGTCATCTACTCCACTCAGTCAAGGTGTTGGCAGGGGTCTCTATTGGTAGTGTCTTGGCTGGATTGCTGAGTCTGCACATCGACATTCACACCCTCGAAGATATTTTTGTACGCGCCCCTCTTGCTAATTTGCGTCGACCCAAGTTGTCCAACGTATTTAAATCCGCCCATGGTCTTGATTCGGGAGAATACATGATGGCGTTTCTTGCAGACATTCTCTTAGATCACCACATACACCCGAAAATTACATTAAAGCAGATCGCGGACCGTTATAAGCGGACGGTGGTCATTGTTGCGTCCTGCGTGGAGACCCGCCAAGCCGTCTATTTCACCCCAGACACACATCCGAATCTGCCCCTGTTGGACGCCATTCGCATGTCTTGCAGCATACCCTTGATATTTGAGCGCGTCCCCTTTGACGGCATGTCCTACGTCGACGGCATGTTGACCGACCCTTTGCCCATGACCTATGTCAAACACACCCTCGGGATCCCGGAATCCCGCATATTGGGATTTGTCTTGACCTCGGACAATCAGATATCGAAGGTGACCTCCTTTGAATCCTACATCTTGCAGATACTACGCATGTTTCCGGTCAGTCCGGGAGTCAACGTTATTTCTATTGTTTGTCCCGCGGAACATGGTATGAATTTTGGCCTACCCGAGATAGCCCGTAAAGAATTAATTCAATTGGGTCAACAAGCGGTGGAAGAGCATGTATCATCCCGCAAACTGACCCGACGTCGCTCCATTTGAAAAGGACCCCATGGACTTACTTATTGTTGTGGTTGTCACCGTGGTCGTCCTGGGTGAGACGGTCTCCGATCGCGGTGATATGTATGACTGACCATGCTCATCTGACATAGATCCCTATCGCATCCGGAAAACCCGGTCAGGGAAAGAATACTAGACAGAACCAGCTACACTCAAAGTCGAGACACTTTAATGTTAGTTAAAAGATGTAATGCATAAATGAGTAGCATGCCCACCAGCAGAAAGCTGAATATATCCACCAGATTCTGCGACACTGAACAATCTCGAGTACTCTTGAATTTACGTTGACACTGTTCGCATCGGGAGACATGGCGTTGAATGTCGGCACACAGGTCGTACTCGACATCGGGTCCGAAGAATTCCTTCCGGGTTGGGAGGGTTCTGGGTCGGAACACCGGTGGTGCTACCGGCTTTGCCTTCCCATACTCGGGAAAGATTTCGGCCAAAAGTCCGTAACTAGCCATTATATTATGCCCCCAACAAAAAAATGCGGGAGCTACTGTTAAACACATGGACGCTGACAAAACACCTTGGTTTAAAATTGTGACGGCTTCCATGTCACTTCTGGTGTATCTGGGGATGCGGAATATCATTGATGATGTCGAATCGTTCTGCGGCACCTTTTTCGATTCAACGGTGATCAAAACGCTCGTGCTCTTCAGCATTGTGTTTTTACGGACAGAATCGGTGGTGATTTCCGCCACCATGGTCGCCGTTTATTATGCTGTGCGCTGGATTCTCAAGTTAACCAACAGACAGTGTCAAGCCGACAAGACTCTCATCACCGACATTCCCCCGGACTCTTGAGTTTTACGCGGATGGTGGTAATTTACATTGAATGACATGTCAATGTGGGTTGTCTGCGCTATCGCGTGCTTGTTGATCGTGTATGTTTTGTTGAGGTGTGCGGAACTAGCGTTGATCTATCCCACTCATTTGGTGAAACATAGACATTGTATTCCACAGAATTCCGCGGATTACCAGAGCAGGTGGTGTGAAGGTCATTATGTCGGTCATGTGAAAACAGCGTTCCCGCGAATCCCCATTTTATTCTTCCCGGGGAATGCTGCCGTCTTGCAAGATCAAATCGAGTTTGTGAAACACACTTTCCCGCAGAACGATGTTTATCTTATTAATTATCCCGGATACGGTCTTACGGAAGGCAATGCCACTCGAGTGAACATACAACACAGTGTGGACATGGTGTTACAACACATTGAGGGATCCTTTGTTGCTTACGGTCACTCGCTGGGAGGTGCCGTAGCTGTCGATACAGTGGTACGTCACCCTCTCCGGTTCAAGGGGTTAATTCTTGATAACACATTCACCTCTGTGTCGGCTATGTATCCGATCTCCTGGATGCGGTGGTTACTTCATGAACAATGGCAAAACGATCACTTGCTTCCCCAAGTTCGCGTCCCGGTGTTACTGTTGGCCTCAGAGAACGACGAAGTCATTCCACATGCTCACATGCAGACATTGCGTTCGGTGTGTCCGCATGCGCAATGGGTATCATTTCCTGACGGGACGCACAACACCACATCGATGCAGCCGGGATACCATGAAGCTGTGGATGAATTCATCAACGAATTGAACCCTGTTGAAATGGCCACGGAAATGGCCACGGTCCCGCGGGACAGAAAAATGACATTAATTTCGCCAGCCACAAGATAAGACCAACATGAACAGGTGGTTGGCGGCATGGCTGGTTCTCATCCTATTTTTGCTGGCAGATGCTTTATGGATTGGGTCGGGACTGGTCAATTACGCCAAAGCGGCCGGAGGTGTCTATGCCTTCCGATACTTTGGCTTGGCCGCCTATTTCCTAATGACCTGGACCATCTTGAAATCGCGGAACGCACTCGATGCTGCGGAATGGGGTCTTATTATCTATGGCATCTTCAACCTTACCAACCTCTTTTTATTTCAGTCATGGACCTACCCCGTCGCCCTGGCGGATACGCTGTGGGGTACGAGTCTGATGGCGTTGGTGGGGCTTGTCTACCATCACTGGTTGATTTAAACCCACGTTGACATCCCATCAACGCGCCAAACGCTTTTATTTCCCCAACCCTGTTTAGACAACATGGTTGGTAGCACGCAACATTCTCTCGAGCATTATCGGATCCCACCTAGTAAGAAGACCACCACCTCGGACGCCACCCATCAATCGATGAATGGCGGGAATTATAAAGTAAGTCTGGAACCGACCGACTACCAAGACTTCTTGAAGGTCTACCTACGTGCCCTCGAAAACAAGGAGCCAATGTATTTGACCGAAAGGACCCCTAAGACCGATCCGTTCCGCTTCTTCATGGATTTGGACTTTGAATGGGACCTCCAAGTCAACTTTCGCGAGTGGTATAAGGAATTGAAGACCATCCTACAGTCGGTGCTGCCAGGCCCTGTCTTCCTGTCGACTCGTCTCAACAAGGTGCATGTTCATTGCCCCACTCTCATCGTCACGCGCAATCAAGCCGTTTCGTGGCTGGTGAAGTGTCAGGAAGCTCTGGTGAAGGTCTACCCCAAATTGTCGGGTACCAAGACGTTTGACAAATCGGTATACTCGTCCGGGCTGCGCATGTTGGGTTCCATGAAACCGCTTCACAAAAGCAGCCATGACGAACCTGCGACCGCTCCGAAAATATATCACTTGTTGGACGACGACTGTGAGCCAGTGTCCTTGTTGAATGACGACAGTACCGAAGCCAAGATTGCCATCTTGATGCAGATGTCTATTTTCAATTTGGACGGCGCAGAACTGTATCAGCCGGGCACCGAGACAGCCGTGGCTTCCTCCAGTTCGACCGAGCCAATCAAGACAGTTCATCACTTTGATCTCTCAGACCTTACTAACCATCGCGACGTGACTGATTTCATTTACAGGGAATACGGTCACATCGACGCCAAAATCAAGCAGATCAAAGCCGAGGGCAAGTCCTACATCGTTGAACTTGAGGAACGCTACTGCCACTTTGTCCGTCGCAGTCACCGGTCCAATCGGCAATACTTGGTTATCAACACCGAACATGGTGTGAGCCAGCGTTGCCACGACAGCGACTGTCAAAGTCACTTACATCATAACATTCCCTTTGACAAGTTGCCTTTGATTTTGCAATCGCTGTTCATCCAAGGGCTGCGCTCGGTGTCGGATGTAGTTAAAGATCTCGTCAAGGACCATGAACCGGTGGAAATCGGTGAACCCAAGAAACGAGGTGCCGGTATCATTGTACCCATCAAATTTAAAAGTTGTCCTCTGTGTAGAGGCGATGGAATGTGTTCCCACCTTGAAATCATCAAGAACACTGGCGAAGCTTACATTTCCTGCGTAGAACGCATTGAATCGACCCACCCCAACGAACCCTGGACCCTCGATCGTCAGAAGTTGGCCATCATCTTCAACGGTCCCGTCAATATTGTCAACAACAACTACACCACCATTTATGCTGGAGACAATGCTGACATCGACGTCACCTTTGACATCGTGTATGAAATCTTTGACGACCGCGAACTGAATGCGCTATGTTACCGCGCACTTGATGGAACCACCAGTCATCTCGTGGATTTGCTGTACTACCTAGCTAAGGATCGTTTTGCACATGGATGTCTGAAGAACGAGTCTTGGTACGAGTTTGTGGAACCTAGGTGGCGAGAACGTCATCAAGGTATCTTTACCTACATTCCAAAGATATTGATCGACGACGCCTTGCAGGTGGTCAAGAACTACTACCAAGATCGGACACCGGATGGGGATCTGACCAAACTACAACTGCCTAAGCTGAATCAAGTCATCAGGGCCATTTTGAACAAGCAGAAGCACATGATTGAACAAGATGCTGTACCGCGGTTTGCTGTTGAGGATTTTGTGCAGAATCTGGACAGCAAGAGATCGGTCATTAGTTTTACCGACTGTGTTTATGATTTTGATCTTCACGCCCCCCGAGAGGGACGCCGAGAGGACTACGTTCACATGTCTACGGGCTACGCTTTCCCCCACAACTCTGATCCCGCCATTCGTGCCCGAATTCTACAATTCTTTGAAGAGATTCAACCCGATCCCGTGGAGAGACGCTACTTGCTGACCTTCTTGAGTACATTGATTCATGGCGAAAATCGGGAGGAAACCTTTCACATCTTTACCGGGACCACTCGCAACGGCAAATCGTTGTTGTGTGACTTGCTCAAACACACCTTGGGTGATTACTATGTGACCATCGCCGCCAATATGCTTACCAAGGAGAGACCCTCACCGTCTCAACCTCAACCCGATGTGATGTGTTTGAAATCAAAGCGAGTCGCCGTGGGGTCGGAGCCGGAAAATGGGCAGAAGATCAACACAGGCTATATGAAATACATCACTGGTAATGACATGCTCAGTGCTCGTGGTTTGTATGAGAACAAGTTGACCGAGTTTAAGCCACAATTCAAACTGATCCTGTTGTGCAACACCATTCCTATGATGGATTCGAACGATCAAGGAGTGTGGTCGCGTTCACGCATCGTCAATTTCCCCACGACCTTCACCGACAATCCCACGTTACCCCACGAGAAGAAAATTGACAAGACCTTGAAGCACAAGATTCACGAGTGGGGTCCGGAGTTTATGCTCATGCTTCTGGAACAGTTTCACCAGGTATACGAAGTGGAAGGTCTCGAGCCCACCCCGTTCGTGCTGCAAAAGACGCGCGAGTTCAAGGAGGATTCGGACGATGTGCTACAGTTTCTAACTGCGCATTTGATCGCATCCCCGAAACACGTTCACCTTGATACGGTGTACCAGCACTTCTTGGCGTGGATACGAATACATTCCCCCAGCACCACCGTTATGTCCTGTCGTGAGTTCAACAAGTCGATCAAACACTACAGCCAATACACTGTCTGTCCAGTAAATGTGGATGGTCACACCAAAGTAGGGATCAAGAATTACGAACTGTCGTCGTAACAGGTTGGCTGGAGAGCCACTCCATGCCTCTCCACCCACTCGATAAAACGGGTCGCTCTCCATGGGTGTTTGGTTGGTGAAGAAACATGAAGAGACCTTGACACCATAGGGCAGATCCCCGGTGTTATTGCAATAAGATTGCG